GCTCTGCTCATTTTTCTCAACCTGTTTTCCCTCATGTCCACTTTGGGTTAATTTTCTTGCCCCATTCTCAAGTTTACTCTATTTTATTCTCTGTCATCTTCACTCTGATACTGAGTGCACCATTGAGTTTTTAAATTTACTATTATATTTTACAGTTTTATTATTTCCATTTTATTTTTCTTTATAATTTTGTTTTTGATTGCTGTTTCTCATTCAAGCTGTGATTTTTCACAACTTGGTTCTTGGAACGACAAGTGGTCTCAGTTGTGCTCTGGACACATTAACCATTATGTCTGGAAACTCTGGTTCCTGTTTAAAAGCATTTCAGCAGGTGGTTTCCCTGCCTAGGTTTAAGCACAAAGATCCTGACCTTTGCTGTAGGCTGTGGCTCCAGTGACAATTTAATTCCCAAAGTTTTTGTGGAATTATTTCCCCCTGTTGGTTGTCCTTGTACAGATGGGCTCTCCGTGGTTCCTGTTGATGCTGTGTGAGGAGGCAGAAGCAATGCCCACATGCTGGGCCCCTCGTCCCAGTGGCTGGGGGAAGGAGTCTCCAGACGTTGGGGGACAAGGAGGTTTCCTGGACGAGACGTTTGCTGTAGCAGGTCCTCCCTGCCTGTGCGCCTGGCTGCCCCGTGACCCCAGGTGGAAGCTGGGAGGTTCGGGTCCTCCGGGAAGTGCTACTTCGGTCACTTACTAAGGACTTTGAATGATGTCCACCTACTGGAGCCTGCAGCCTTGCCTGAGCTGGTGATGGGATTCTGTGAATCCGGGGAGCAGGGAGCCTGCTTGAGCCACCTTGGATCACTAGGTACAGCCAGGAAACCCAGGCGCAAGTCCTTCCTCCGCTGGGTGGTGGGCTGTAAGGTGCCCTGCTGTGGTTCCCCTTCCCCAGTCCCTAACCAGATGGTCTATTCTCGTCATCCAGAACTGCTCCTTGGCTGCTGCCCGCACTGTCTCCACCAGGTGTGGCGGAGATGATGGGAAGGATCAGGCAGGAGCAAGTCTGCTCCCTTCTGCTTGGGCCGGGCTTCCTCTTTGGGCTCCTTTTTATGGGGCGCGGATCCCTCTCATAGAGCTCCCAGTTAGCTTTCCCTTAAATGTCAGGGACTAGGTCAGCTGTTGAGATGCCCTTGGGATGTCTGCATCCAATACTGAGGGGTCTTCCCGTGAGTTCCAGACCCACACTCGATTCTAGGTTCCTGCCCCTGTGCCCCCGGGGAGGCAGCAGTGATGGCTAAAGGAGTTGGGTCCCTGCCACCGTGTGGGTGACCCAGATCGAACTGCTAAGTCCAGGTGTCACCTGGCTGTTGCAGGCAATTGGAGAGGGAGTTAACCAGCCAATACTCTCTCTCTCTCCCTCTCTCGCTCTTAAATAAAAATAAATTAATAAAAATTAAGAGAAATAACCACAGTGCAGTAGTGCATTGACTATACCCGTCTGGAGTGACTGGTGGACTGGGGGTGGAATGGCCATTATGAGTTTCAGCCCTCAGTACTGGAGGCCTCACACCTGTGCAAAATCAATGCTCCATTAGCAAAGGAGGGGTGGGGTTGGACAGCACAAGGTAGCACGTTTCACAGGCATGGCACCAGGAACCACCCCCAAGACGTACCCTAAGAACTGTTACTGATGCAGGATCTGGGTGGAAGAATGACTCTGTCACCTCCAGACGGGATTTCGGCAGAAGAGGGCACAGCTGTGTTTCAGTGCTCATGGGGCTGCCAGGCACAGCACCGCGCACGGACTGATGGACCTGGGTTCAAGCCTCGGCTCTGTCTCTGGACCTGCGGCTCGCAGACACTTGAGGCTGCAAGTGACAGAAACGTTGTTTATTGGCGACTTGAGCTAGGGCAGGGCACAAGGGCGAGGGGCGGGGGCGCCACGTCCAGGAGCACTGACATGGGGTAAATGAGAAAGGGGTGATTCGCGTTCCTGTTTTCCCAGCAAAGTTCTCCGCGGCGACTCCTGGTGTGACCTGAGCCAGAACACTCACTGTGGCCACGGGCACGGTGCGGTCTGGGCCTCCGACCTTCCTCGGGGCAGGTGGAGGAGGGGCTTAGTCCCCTGGAGCCGTGTGCAGTACTAACTGCGGTGACACATGTGATTTAATGCGGGAAAGAAGCTGAGAACAAACGAAGCATAAAAGTGCACGAGCAGGTGGCGGAGCTACCGCCACTCACCTCCGCCCGTTCAGCCGCTGTGGACTTAGGAGCACTGGACACCCAGACCTCAGCAGGGCACTCCCCTGGGGGCAGGGGTTGGTGCCGGTCACTACCCTCCTGCTCCTGACGCTCAGTAGAATCCTGGCGCTGGATGCTGGGCGAGTGCAGCAACGCCCAGCGTTATCCGGAGTGCCCTGGCCACCTCTACTGCGCCTGTCTGATACGGCTGTGCGTTCCCGGGGCGGGGGGGTGTCTCCGGGACCTCAGAATCAGCAAGGACAGCAAGGGCAAGCTTGTTTGCAAGCAAAAGAGGGCAGAGGTGTGAAACTCAAAATGCTTGGGCCCTGGAGGCGATCTTGTCTCATTTTCGGTAGTCCTTACACACTCGGCGTCTCTGTCTGGGATTTGATTGTCCCCAGAGGCAGTCCCTCGGCCACTTCGTGTGTCAGTCACTCCCGCAGGCTCCGCAGTGGTGTCTGGGACCACCCAGCCTGAGAGGAGGGGGTGAGGGAGCAGGCAGGGGGCCAGGGGGCAGCAGGGGCAGGTGTTGGACAGTGAACAGGGAGAGGCACGGGAGGCCAGCAGGACGCGTGTCAGTGCGTCTGGGCCGCCAGAACAATCGGCCACCGGCTGGGTGGGTTTCAAACAGCAGAACGTCGCCTTTTGCAGCCCTGGGGGCCGGGAGGCCCACGATGGAGGCAGGCTTGGGGTCTGTGGAGGGCAGGTCTCCTGGCTCGTGGCTCCTCCTCCCTTTCCTCACAAGATGGTGGGGCCGAGAGGTCTGTTCGCTGGGGCAATGATCCCACCTGTGAGGTTGCCACCCTCAGGACCCAGCCGCCTCCCCAGGCCCCGCCTCCCAACACCGCCACCCTGGGGTGTCCATGTGCTCACTTGGGAGCCAGGCTCTGCAGTGCCCGCATTCGCTGGGTGATGGGATGCAGCCGGCTAAAGGGAAAGCAGAGGCGCGCGCTCTCCCTGGCCCTGGTCCTCCAGGGTCCCGCTCTTCCCCACCAAGCCCTCTCGAGCTGCTGTCTGCAAGAGGTACCTCTCCAATCAACGGAGACTGTTGAAAGCTGCCCCGCGCTCAATCCACTTTATAACCTCTTGTGTCTCTCAGCTGGCGTCTCAAACTTCCGTAAAAGGCAAAGGAGAGCTTCCCGGACAAACGGCTGACGTTGCTGACGGAGCCCCGGCTGCTCACAGGCCCCTGGAGAAGCCGTAGCCCCAGGCCGGCCACCACGGTGTTTCTCTGAGACCCTGGCCCCCACCTACCTCCTAGACAAAAGACTTGCGAGCGAGTGCCGTTCCTGCTTTGGACAGCGAAGCAGGATTTCTGACACCTCTACCCCGGCTCATAGCCGACTCTGTGAAATTAACGTCTCTTCTTTGTGAAGCAGGAGGCATTCTGGGAGAGGTCCCAGCACCGCAGGGCCGAGCCATCGCTTCCCTGCAGTGACCGTGTAAGGGACTTCCCACACACGGACTCGCTTCCTCCCAGCAGCGACCCTGGGAGGCAGAGTCCATGCTGATCTCCCTCTCAGGTGCACCTGACAGAGGGCAGCCCGGCCGAGGCCACACCCACTGCACCCAGGAGACCTTGCCTTCGCTGCTACATCTCCCAGCCTCTCTCTCTAAGGAGGCCCTGGCATCGTCCAACCCTGGCTGGGAATGGTCTCCAAGTGGGCACGTGGGGCCAGCTGTGTGAATATGGAATAAGTTAGGGTCAATATGCCCTGGTCGATGGACCGTAAGTACCCGTGTTCCAAAAGAGAGAAAAAAAATGAGTATTGAAAAAGCATCACTTTTATTTAAATCGCAATCTGAACCCCAGACGACGGCAGCTCCGGCTCACCACGCTCTCGCCTGCTCAACACACTGATTGTTTAAAATTCCAAGGGGAAAAATAAACCACTTGGCTCCTCCGGCCGCTTGTTTACAACCGCCTTTTCAGAGGTGATGGATTGTAGATTGCGCATAAAATGGTGAAATATCTACTAAAAATGTGGACGTGGGCTGCCCCGACACTTTTATGTAAGGGGAATTGGCCAGGGCCTGAGCTGTTTGTAGGCCAGCGGCTCTGAAGGGCCTCTGGCAAGTACCCCGGAGCTCGGTTGCTTTTCCCATAGTGCTGAGTGTTTGGTGATGGGGGAGGCCACAGTCAGCTTGCCTTGCGGATCTGCGGCACCCTGTCACACTTCAGGCAAACCAGGACTGTCCCCCATGGCCCGCGACGGCAGGGACCAGGCCAGCGGCCCTCCAGCTCCCTGGTGCTTTCTTACTTCTCTCCCTGCGTGCGTGGGGAACGTTCAGGGCTCACTTTTTTTATTTTTAATTTTTTGACAGGCAGAGTGGACAGTGAGGGAGAGAGACAGAGAGAAAGGTCTTCCTTTTGCTGTTGGTTCACCCTCCAATGGCCGCCGCGGCCGGCGCACCGCGCTGATCCGATGGCAGGAGCCAGGTGCTTCTCCTGGTCTCCCATGGGGTGCAGGGCCCAAGCACCTGGGCCACCCTCCACTGCACTCCCTGGCCACAGCAGAGAGCTGGCCTGGAAGAGGGGCAACCGGGACAGAACCCGGTGCCCCGTCGGGACTAGAACCCGGTGTGCCGGCGCCGCTAGGCGGAGGATTAGCCTGGTGAGCCGCGGGCCGGCCGGCTCACTTTCAATTATGCCTTCTGGCAGTGTTTGACCAAAGAGAGCGCGAAGCAGCGATGAGCGGCTACCGCAGACCAGCAAATTTGCATCAAAACCCGAGTGGTCGCGCCTTCTGCAGGTTCCTATCTTAAGTTGTGAAAGTGAGGCTGTTTTGTTTGTTTTGTTTTGTTTTTGGCTTCCAAGGGAGGAGGTGCCTCCCTCACCTGCACCTCCCAGGGTTTTCTGGGACGTCTGGCTCCGCACGGCTGCTGTGCGATGCCGCGGTGCCCGGCTGCGCACCGTGTCCTGACCTGGCAGCGCCGTCGGACTGTTCTCCCACCACAGCTGTTCCGGGGACCCTGCAGGCCGGGCCGGGAACCGCTGCCTATGGGAAACAGGCCTGGGAAACCCAGAGGCTGAGATGGGGGGGCTGGCTCGGGCAGCAGGGGCGGCACCCTCAGCACCGGCGCCCAGAGCGTCCGGTCCTGTCTGAGTCTGGGGGCCAGCTCTCTGCCCCCAGGGAGGGCAGGCAGTGCCACTGCCCAGGCAGACACACAGGGCAGCTGCTTGCCCACGTGGCCCCTTGGGTCAGGTTGGCACCCTCCTTGCTTCTGAAGAGACGTCCTTGGAGCTTTGCACAAAACAGTCGCTGGAAGAGGCAAGTCGCCCGCCCCTGCAGACCAGAGCTGCTTCGTGTGCTGGTCGTCACGGCCTCAGGCTGACGAGAGCCGGTTCTTCCTTGCTCCTCGCATCACATCATCACGGCAGGGTGCCCGCATCCGCATGGACACACAGCACGCCTGCTGCCCACGCCCTGGAACAGAGGAAGACCGCGGCGGCGGCCTGCGGGGCTATTTATAGACCCTCACCGGGAAGAGGCCAAGGAAACCTTTTTTGGTCAACTCGCCAAAGCCTTTGGCTACATCTGTGTGAGATGGGCACTGAACTCCAGGTGCATCCTGGGAAGACAGCTCTGCCCACCACCGAGCACCGACGCAGTTTGGACCACGCTGGAGAGAGGTCCTGTCTCCCCCGGGTGCTGGGAATCATAGACGCCTGACGCTTCACACGCAAGAACAGCTGAAGAGGAGACGTGCTAGAGGAAGATGGGGAAGGGGAGCCGGCACAGCACACCCCGTGCTGAGAGGGAAGAAGGCAGGCGAGGCAGAAGACGTTTAGGAAAGCAAACTCGGGTTCCACAATGCGGCCGCCTGCCCAGGTGGCGCTACCCTCCCTCTCACCAAGCACTGCGGCGGGGACGCACAGGCGCTATTCACAATGGAGAGGATGGCGAGACACCTGGGGACAGACAGAGGGCCAGAGGCAGAGCATGTGTCACAGACGGGCCCTCCCATATCACGTGGACCCTGCGCCTCCGCCTGTGCATGGGGCAAGTGAGCGGCAGGTGCTCCGGACACAGGGTCGGACCTCGCCCAAGGCCGGGCCGTGGGCGGATCCAGGCAGGGGATGCGGACCAGTCTCCTTGCAGCAGGAGCCCCTGCCCAGCCACTCCCAGACCTCAGGAAGCAGGTGTGGGCGGCGCCCCACCCCCGACCAGCAGGGGGCAGCAGTCCACCAGCCCCACTGGGGGCCTGGGCCACCTGGTGGTCAGCGCTTTGCTCATCAACATGAAGGCACAGCCCCCTACCATCACACGCAAAATGTAAGATGGTTAACTCAGAGGGAACAGCCAATAAAGAGAGCGGACGTGGGTTGTGAGGACAGTCTATGATATCCTTGTGCGGCTGCCACATTCACAACATGGGAACTGGGTAACACACACACAGGAGCACTTCGACCAGTTTCTCAAAAACAGAATCTAAAAGATAGTGAATCTTGGTTAAACCCTTTGGAAATGCAGCTTTTTCATGGACTTTTGGAAAACCTCTCACGTGTGGTGCATTTGCCATTTTCCACTCACAAGTGACTTGTGAAGAAAAGAGGATTATTGGTCTCGTGGTTTTGCACTCACAGTCCACGATGCAGCTGTAGGCTTGGGCTCTGCTGCGGGCAGGGTGTGCGTGAGGCGAGATCACAGAGCAAGCCGGGAAACAGAGGCCGCGCCCACCTCAAACTTCTCCAGCCAATTCCCTTGGGAAAACTGACTTCCAAGAGGGCCACCCACTGGGCCCCACCTGCTGAACCCCGGACGAGGGCTGTGCCCGCACTCAGCACCACCGGCTGATGGCTCGGTTGAAAATCAGTATGGATTTCGCAGCCAGATCACAACACAGAGATTTCAAAACTTTTTGCACCACAATAAGCTTATCTCTTAACTCCATTTTCCATGAACTTTTTGAAGTTCCCTAGTACACACAGAGACACACATAGACACGTGCATACACACACACATATGCACAGGTGCACACGCAAGGGCACGCATACAGAAAAAAAAAATAGAAGGTCTTGGAATTTTTAGACACGGTAGCTAACGTTCTTAGTTTCTATAAAAGGCTTGAAGGTTAAAGTCAGAGGCGATGTCTCACAGCTGAACGATTCAAGTGTCCACATGAAGACCCGCTGGGTCCCGGAGGCATGGGGGAAATGGCCAGTGGTAGGCTGAGCATCACTAGGTACCAGACCTCAGGGCTTGGCAGTGGGGGCGGCGAGCGAGCGGAGGTCCACAAAGAGCCGTCGGCACTGCATCGGGGTCCTCGGCAGCCGGGGAGCCAGAGGCCCCGCAGGAAGCCTTCAGCACCCCGGGGTGCACGAGGTTGTCCGCGAATGGATCACGGCTGGAGCTGGGCGGGGCGTGTGTATGGGGGCCGTTACACTGCTCTTTTTTACACCTGTGTAGGATTTCAAAAATAGGAATTTCAGAACCTGACAGGAAAGCAAACACAGCAAAAGAACAAGCGATGGTGAGCGTGCGCTGACGAAGCGGAGTTAGCGCACGCAGACGCTGTCCACAGAGGGGAGGTCGGCCCAGGGGGCGGCGCAGCCCACACCCCACAGCTCAGCACCAGCCTGCCGCTCGCCTCGGGTCCAGCTTCCCGCTAATGGGTCTGGGAAGGCAGCCACAGACAGCCCAAGTGCTCGGGGCCCTGGGAGCCCTGGATGGAGTTCCTGGCCCCTGGCTTTGGCCTGGCCCAGATCTGACTGTTGTGGTCATTTGGGCAGTAACCAGTGGATGAAGATCTCTCTCTCTCTCTCTCTCTCTCTTCCCCATTTCAAATAATAAATGAATAAACATTTTAAAAGACATGAGGTCTTTTTTGTTTTACTTAATACTACTGGTTGAACTCTTTAATTAACACACAATTATTCTTAGGTGTTTAAATTTAACTGAACAGTGATCCCTGTTAAATATGAGAGTGGGAATGGGAGAGGGAGGAGATGTACAGTTCAGCACATGCTCAATCAGACTTGCCCCAAATGGTAGAGCTGGAAGCATGCCAGGGGATTCCAATTCAATCCTATCAAGGTGGCATGTACCAATGCCATCTCACTATTTGAGAGATAGAGTTATATACAGAGAGAGGGAGACTGAGAGAAAGAAAGGTCTTCCATCCTCTGGTTCACTCCCCAAATGGCCACAATGGCTGGAGCTGAGCCAATCCGAAGCCAGGAGCCAGGAGCTTCCTCTGTGTTTCCCACGTGGGTGCAGGGGCCCAAGGACTTGGGTCATCCTCCACTGCTTTCCCAGACCACTAGCAGGGAGATGGATTGGAAGTGGAGCAGCCAGGACTTAAACAGGCGCCCGTAAGGGATGCCAGTGTCACAGGCGGAGACTTTACCTACTATGCTGAGCGCCGGCCCCTGTATTTTGCTGGGGATCTCTGGAGTTAATTTTTGCTCTTTTTTTTTTTATTTGACAGGTAGAGTTATAGACAGTGAGAGAGAGACAGAGAGAAAGGTCTTCCTTCCGTTGGTTCACTCCCCAAATGGCCGCTACGGCCAGTGCTGCACCAATCTGAAGCCAGGAGCCAGGTGCCTCTTCCTGGTCTCCCATGCAGGTGCATGGACCCAAGCACTTGGGCCATCCTCCACTGCCTTTCCGGGCCACAGCAAAGAGCTGGACTGGAAGAGGAGCAGCCGGGACTAGAACCCGGCGCCCATATGGGATGCTGGCGCTGCAGGCCGGGGATTAACCAAGTGAGCCACGGCACTGGGCCCTATTTTTGCTCTTTTCTCACCCATCCTCTTATTCTGTCCATATTTGTTTTATTTCCAGGAGAGGGCAGAGTCTGGACGTCCTGCCAAGAGTTCCATGAGGGTGGGATCCTGCCGACTCAGAACGCAGCTTTGCAAAGCCACGTTGTGACAGGGCAGCCTGGGCAGGGCTCAGAGCAAGCCGCGGAGTCTCTGCCTCCAAGAAATCTCTCAGTGACCATATCGCACTGCCCTTTGTCCCTGGAAGCTTGGGCTTCACCTGTGACCTGCAGGTGCCGTCAGGTATGTCATTTTCTATCAGATGTCGGTGTGGACACTGAGGAAGGAGCCTAGGGAGTCGTCCTCTAAGTGGTCATAGCGCTCATTTTTTAAATCAAAACACGAACTGGTGATGTGAACAGTTCCCATGTAAAGTAGCAGCGTTTCTCCTGCTTATCTGAAAGCATATTCCTAGGCACGTGTGACAGTGGCGATATAAAAACTGACATAAAGAACAAAATGCAGGAATTCCAAACAGAGGGGCGTGTGCTTTTGTCCTGTTTTGGGGACTGTAGAGTTCAAGGCACTTGTGGTTCCAGAGTGTGGGGTGTGTCAAAACCAACCCAGAGCGTCTCACCTTAAAATATGTAGGTGTGAACCAATCACCGTTTATCACGGAATTATCTCAAAGTCAATTAGACGGAGTTGAAATGCATCTATATATTGTCAAGAGGATCAATGTGAATGTTGAAATGAATGCTACAGTGCGAGATTTAGTGACAAACTGATCAAAACACCTTTTAAAGTCAAAATTGCTTCTTCGTTATGTGCCACGCAGAAATGGTTTGTATGATTAATAAAAATTCACCTGGGTTTTTTGAGATTAGATATTATCATAAAGTAAGTTTTCAGGGCCAGTGGCATAGCAGGTAAAGCCGCCCCCTGCAGCGCCGGCATCCCACACGGGCACTGGTTCACATTCCAGCTGCTCCTCCTCTGATCCAGCTCCCTGCTGATGGCCGGGGAAGCAGCAGAAGATGGCCGCGTGCCTGGGCCCCTGCACCCTTGTGGGAGACCTGGATGAGCTCCTGGCTTTGGCCTGGCCTAGCCCTGCCGTTGTGGCCATCTGGGGAGTGTACCAGGGGATAGAAGATTGTCTCTCTGTCTCTCTTTGTAACTCTGACTTTCAAATAAGTAAATCCTTTTTTAAGAAAAGAAGTTTGTGGGCCTGGAGATGGTCAAGAGATTGTCCTCACTGTACCTCCTCTCTAACAGGCTGCCGGGCTCTCTGTCCAGCCACAAACGTGCCTTAGCTTCCTCACCTCCACTCTGCGAGTGGCCACACTGCCCAACGGAACAAGCCCTCCCAGGAGGCGCAGATGTGCCCTTTGGGGCGCACGGTCCTCACAGCCGGCCAGGACAGCAGCACTTCCCCGGGGCGCTCTGTGGGAACTGAGCTGGATTCGGGGAAACAGGAAGTGAGGAGAGGAGCCGGGCGTGGCCCAACAGCCCTCCACTGACCGCAGGCACGAACTCTGCTAGCGCTGGGGTGGGCTCAGCTTCCGGTGCTTCTTGGGCTGGGTTCACGGGTTGGCTGCTCTACCCGTGGACAGGTGAGGAGCTGAGGTAGGGGCCGCGCTGGGCGCAGGCTTCCCGCTCTGGGAACACACGTCCTCGTCCGTCCGGGCCTCTCCCCGTAGTTATCTGCAGGCCCCCTCTCTAAATGAGACGCAGCCGGAGACACGCTGAGCCCTGGTTGTCTGCTCCAGCCTTGGTCTGCGCCGCCGTGGATTTCCCAGTCTTGGGAGGTCTGTATGTATTTTGTTCATTGTCAGAATTTCCAGTTAGGTGAAGGTTAAGCCAGCCTCAGGGCGGGGTAGGAACCCCAAGTACCCCCTCTACCCTGTGCCCCCCAAGGACATTTCCCACTGGATTTGCCCAAACTGCCCCGACTCCTGGGCCGTCCCGCGTCCCTCGGAGGATTCTGGAACTGAACTGAGGTTTCCACAGTTCCCTGCCCAGCTCTGCCCGGGGAGGGGTGGGGACATCGCCCAGAGCGTGCCCTGGGCCTGGCGCTGGGTGTGGGCGCAGTGCCACACCCTCCGTCTTCTTATCACCTTGAAAGCACTTGGTGCTGGTTTCTGAGAAAGAGCCGGGTAATCCCAGGTGCAGGAAACCTTCCTCCCGTGGTGGCTGTGGTCAGCCCCACCCTGCAGGTCCCGGGCTCTACTTGCATTTGCAGTGGTGCACCAGCACAGGGGCAGCGCGTGGTCCAGGATCAGCCACGGCGTGCACTGACCGACAAGGGGCCGGAGGCGGGATGCAGGCACAGCACTCCTGGGAGGCACTTCTCCTGGACTTTCTCTCTCAGGTGGGTGAGGATGGGGGCTCCCCTCCGTGTTCGTGTAAATGACCCTCGAGTTCTGCCCCCGTGTCCAGGGCACACACTCTCTCCACGTTTCATTCCTTCCCTCGCCGGCTGGCCAGGCTGCTCTCCACAGCTCCACGGGACAGAGGGGAGTCCCAGGCCCAGGGAAAGCTACGTGCCCAAGGTCACGCGCGTGGCAGGTGCAGGCCCACCTCTCCCAGGCTCGTCCCTCCAGGCGGTCCTGTCGTACGACAGCTCCTCCCCACGCGGCTAAGCAAGCTCTGCCTTCGGAGCTTGTGTGCCGTGCGAAGCCCTGGGAATCCTCAGCGTCCCCGTCGCAGCCTAGCACCGCTGCAGGTTCCCGGGTGACCGCTGTGCTGTCCGAGTGGCAGCTGGTTTTTTTTTTTTTTTTTTTGACAGGCAGAGTGGACAGTGAGAGAGAGAGACAGAGAGAAAGGTCTTCCTTTTGCCGTTGGTTCACCCTCCAATGGCCGCCACGGCCGGCGCGCTGCGGCCGGCGCACCTGCGCTGAATCCGATGGCAGGAGCCAGGAGCCAGGAGCCAGGTGCTTCTCCTGGTCTCCCATGGGGTGCAGGGCCCAAGCACCTGGGCCATCCTCCACTGCACTCCCGGGCCACAGCAGAGAGCTGGCCTGGAAGAGGGGCAAGCCGGGACAGAATCCGCTGCCCGACTGGGACTAGAACCCGGTGTGCCGGCGCTGCAGGTGGAGGATTAGCCTAGTGAGCCGCGGCGCCGGCCGGCAGCTGGTTTTACAAACATTATTTATGATGATGTATAAACACGTTTAAAAGGGTACAAAATCCTACCAATCTAGGAGAAAATTTAAAAAGTACTTATTTATTGTTATTTGAAGGAGACAGAGTGAGGTCTCCTATCTGCTGGTTCACTGCCCGGATGCCAGCAACAGCCGGGGCGGGCCACGCTGAAGCCAGGGGTCAGGAACTCAGCCTTGGGTTTCCAGTAGTGGCAGGGACCCAGGTGCTCGCGCCACACCTGCTGCCTCCCAGGGTGCACACTGGCAGGAAGCTGGATTGGACGCAGAGCTGGGACTCGGGACGCGAACCCAGGCACTGGCAGGACATGCCGCACCCCAGCCACCATGCCAGGCGCCCGCTCCCGGGAGAATTTGCTTTCTTGCTGTTTTGTGCTTTATCTCCACAATACCGTACATGCTCGCTGTGATGCATTGGAGAGGCACGTGTCCAGGCCGCCTGGCTTTGCTGCCACAACCAATGACTGCACAGGAGTGGCAGGGACTAGCGGACGCCGACGCCCCCCCAGCTGCTGAGGCCGGGTGTCTGAAGCCAGGGTGTCAGCAGGGCCTGCAGGGGCCGGGGAGGCTCGGGGAGTGTCTGCACAGCTCCTCCAGCTCCGCGGCTCCCAGAGCCACGGCTGCCGGCTGCAGGGCCCCGGTTTTCCCACACCGCAACCCCTGTGAGTCCTGGATCAGCCACACCCGGCTCCCCTGCGCTGGGCTGATTTTACTCCGGGTCAACCATCTGCAGAGGGCCTATTTCCAGCCACGGTGTGTGCACAGCTGTTAGACTCGACCCTGTCTGGGGTGGGCACCGTTCACCCCAGGACAGTCCTTTCAGGCCAGGAGTAGGAGGGCGCCAGGAGACCCACCCGACCCCCAGAGTGGGAAGCGAGCCCAAGGATGCCACGGTGATGGAGACCCCCCCCCCCAGTCACCCTGTGAGCTGCTGGTGGCCCCTGGAGAGGAAAGGCTCCTCACACAAAACAGGGCCAAAGGTCAAAGGGCACGGTGAGAGCCTAGAGTGTAGCAAAACTCTTTCTAGGGCTGAAATACAACTGGACGATAGGCGTCCTTGGGGGCACTTTCTCCTCGTAATGACCTTCGCCCTGTGACCCCAAAGTTCACCTGGAAACAGCCAGCAGGGACTCTCCTTCTGAGACAAAAGGCACCTCCCGACAGGTGCATGCGTGCTGGGGGGCGGAGTGTGGGGAGCTGGGCGGGAGCGGGGAGGACACTCCTAGGAGGCAGAGGGCGGGCCCTGGTCTGAGGCCCATCTCAGGGGCAGCGACCACAGAGGGGCCCCGGAGTGGAGGCGGAAGGGGCCCTCCCCGGGTGCCCAGTGGGTCCTGCTGACCTGGGCCGCCCCACCCCCGAGGCCCCCCATAGACTCGCACGTGCTTGCTGTGTTCCCAGCCTTCAGGGTGAGCTCAGAGCTCCCTGGGCAGCCTGGCCCCCATGAGGGCTGCACCCAGCTTCTCAGCACACTCACGGAGCTCCCCTGTGAGTCTCAGGGCCTGGCCTGGCCTCGCTCACCGCCACATCTCCAGGAGCCTGACAGCCACGGGCGGGCCTGGTGCACAAACCACGACTCCTGGAGCAGCCCAAGGCCCTTCTGTGGCTCTGGGTTGAACACAGCTCCCAGCAGGCAGTGCTGTGTCCTGGCAGCTCAGGCTCTCTCCCACGGGGTCGCTTTGAGTGGACTCTCGGGGCATCCATGGGGTGGGGTGTAGCATGGGTGCCCAGTGCGGACAGTCCCCTGATGCGCCGGGGTGGGAGTTCACCCTCTCTCCTGGAGTTGGGAGAACTGAATCCATAGCCTCTCGGGGAACTCGGAACCCACGCTGGCCACCCAGGCAGTTCCTTCCCCAACCAGGGCCCTCCCAGGGGGTAGGTGCAAACCTCAGGCAGGTACCCGGTACCGACAGGACCTGTGATGCCGCTGTATCCCAGCAACTGCCCTGAGCCGCCTGTGTGAATCGGAGCCATCCCGAACCAGGACACCCCGCAAGCCAGGTGGCTTTCTCCTGCGGAGACCAGAGACTAAAAAGGGGGTGGGTGACGGACTAAAGGGGCTGCTTTGAAAGGAGCCTTTATCCCCACACCCTGGAGCTCCGAGGCTGGACTGAGTGCCCCGCAGTTCTGTCTTTGGGGCAGCTGATCTCTGAGTTGGATGCTACAGAATGTGGGGTTCTTTCGTAAATAATCCCAAGACACAATTGTCCTGAAGGGCTAATATGACTCTCACACCATCTATTCTCCTGCCTCATTTGTTTGTAATTAGTGTCCACGTTGCTAAAGGTAAGGCGAGTTTTGCTTTCATGTCATTTAAAAGCAAAGGACGACTTCTACCTGACAGCGACCTTCTCCCACTTGCCCATCGATATCTGGTTCCAAGTGTCAACATCACACGCCCACAGCGCCATGAAGAAGGCTTCCGATGTGGAAGAATTCTTAAGAGTCAGCAGCATGGTGAGGTGAATTCTGTAACCGCAGGGAGAGAGAAGTCGGGGAGAAAATGGAAGACTTAGAACCAGCTGTCACTTAAGGCTTTGTATCAGCAAACTAAGCAAGAGTGCTCCCGAAATGCAAAACACGCTTTTCAATGTAGCAATAGCAGGCAAATCCTAATGTCACAGGCCCAATTATATTGATTATTATCAGAGAAATATGGAAAATATCTCCAGCGATCAGGAGCTCTCTCAGGGGAGGAATTATTGTAACCTGCAGGTTGCACTCAGCCCCAAAAGTCCGCAATTTCATTGTTTTCAACAGGGACCCAGGGCTGTGCCACCTCTGCCGCCGGCTGATTGTAGAAACCCTGGCCCCGCTGGCAGCCAGCCCGGGGCAGAATCCGTGGTCAGTCTTGCTATGTTCTATGTTTGTATTATTTGAGAGGCAGAGCGAGAGAGAGTGAAGGAGAGAGATGGAAAGGCACACACACACACAGAGAGAGAGACAGAGAGAGAGAGAGAGAGGTCTTCCGTCTGCTGCTTCGCTCCCCAATGGCCGCAACGGCCAGGGCTGGGCCAGGCTGAAGCCAGGAGCCTGGAATTCCACTGGGGTCGCCCACCTCACCTGCTGCCGCCTCAGGGCACCAGCAGTAAGACAGATGGGAAGCGGAGCAGCCAGGACTGCAGCTGGCTCTGCAGTGTGGGATGCTGCCGGCCCCTCCTGCTGGGGCTTGAATGTCTGTCCCCTGCAGGGCTCACGTTGACAGTGGGCTGCCATGGTGGCCACGCGGGGAGCTGGAACTGCATGGCCTGTTCAGGTCCCCAGGGCTCTGCCCCCATGGGCGGGATGAGCACTGTCCTGGGAGGGCGAGGACGCAGCCGCCGGCCGCCAGCCGCTGTCTTGGCCTCCCCCTCTGCAGAACCATGAGCCAGTGCGTTCCTGTCCACGGCAAATGACCCTGTCTGCCAGGGCAGCACCCGACTCCAGGAGGGAGAGCCCTGGCTGCGGGTCCTGTGCCCTCTGCATCCCTGGGATCCTACGATGCGTGGTCCTCTGAGTCTGTGCCTCGCGTGGAGCGCCGTGCCCCCGGGGTCCCTCCGCACCGCGGCCTGCACCGCCCCATGCACCTTGCTTGCAGACTCACCCCAGTCCGCTCGTCCCTTCCCAGGCACAGTGACATTCGGGGATTTCCTGCTCTGTCTGGTGCTGCTGTGGGTGCCCACGTGCAGGCTCTGGGGTGGACACGGGCATCCATTCCTCGTGGGCGCACACCAGGAGTGAAGGGTGCACACGCAGCGAGGACGGCGGTCTCACCTCCGTGCCAACGTGTGCGTGAGCCGGGCCCGCCAGGCGCGTGCTGTGCTCGCCCTCTTCACTTTATCCCGAGTCGGCAAGAACGCTCTAAGAAGAAATTTCTCGGGTAACTACGGCGGCTGTTTTTTCATGAAAACGGACACTTGTCTTTTAGAGGCTCTTGGCTCAAGTGGGTTCTGAGGACACTCTGTGACCACTGCAACGCCGCTGACCGCTCCATTCCCACACCTTAACGTCTGCTCCGGTCAGGGCAGCCTCCCTGTCCCATCACACTTCCGGCGCCTGCTGCTGCCGTTGGTGTCTCTCGGGACTCCCAGGGACCGGCACCTGGCAAGGTGGTCACACGTCTGGGGTCTCCCCGGCACAGCTCACTGGCGGCTGACCCTGCGCTCAGTTCTCTGTGGGCGGAGAAAAATCGATCAAGCACGAGGTCCCAGGCTCTGGTTTGCTGAGTGAGCCTGTGCTGGGGAGGGGGCCAAAGCCCTCTTAGGCGCCCCTTCCCAGAGCAAGAAAGACCCTCTTACCTCGGCTGGGAGACAGCGGGAGGACCACACCTGCACTGTGCCCTGAGCCAGTATTCTCTCTCTTTAATGTTGGTAAAAAGAATAGTTGTCTACTCCACAGGATTAACTTGAGAATTAAAACCAGATGATCAGGGCTGGCACCGTGGTGTAGTAGGTTAATCCTCCACCTGTGGTGCCGGCAACCCATATGGGCACCGGTTCGAGTCCCAGCTGCTCCTCTTCCAGGCCAGCTCTCTGCTGTGGCCCAGGAAGGCAGTGGAGGATGGCCCAAGTGCTTGGGTCCATGTACCCGCATGGGAGACCAAGAGGAAGCACCTGGCTCCTGGCTTCAGATCGGCGCAGTGCCGGCCGTAGTGGCGATTTGGAGAGTGAACCAATGGAAGGAAGACCTCTCTCTCTGTCTCTTCCTCTCACCGTCTGTAACTCTACCTCTCAAATAAATAAATAAAATCTTAAAAAAAAAAACAACAGATGATCAGAGTATGGTGCTAGACAGTGTCTACGAACAGCAAGGGTTCGATGCGTAGGAACTGTAATAATACTAAGATCGTAATTCCAGAAGGAAGAAATTCAGTGTGGCCCATCCATACAGTGCAGTTTTACAGCCATTAAATACTGTGTTTACATTTTGTGTTCACAAAATCATAGGATGCACAAGGAAATTTTTATGCCATGTTAATTTTTTGAAGTTAGCAAAATTCTATGTGCTGTGTGCTTTCAATTATGCTTTTTTTTTTTTTTTTGACAGGCAGAGTGGACAGTGAGAGAGAGAGACAGGTCTTCCTTTGCCATTGGTGCACCCCCCAAATGGCCGCCACGGCCAGCACTGCGCAGATCCGAAGGCAGGAGCCAGGTGCTTCTCCTGGTCTCCCATGGGGTGCAGGGCCCAAGCACTTGGGCCATCCTCCACTGCACTCCCTGGCCACAGCAGAGAGCTGGCCTGGAAGAGGGGCAACCGGGACAGAATCTGGCGCCCCGACCGGGACTAGAACCCGGTGTGCCGGCGCTGCAGGTGGAGGATTAGCCTAGTGAGCCGCGGCACCAGCCTCAATTATGCTTTAACAAGCAGTGATAAGGCCCAGGAGGGGCTGCGACGGTGCTAGCAGTGCCTGGCCTGAGTGATGAGATGGGTGTACAGCTCGTCTTCTACTTCTTTCTACTTCAGTGTTCCTCCCAAGAAGCACACCGTCTCTGGAATCATCAAAGCAATAAGTCACCGTGTAGGTGAAGGCAAGTGTGCACGAAGCAGCCTTGTCTTCCCGGCTCGCGGCTGTGCCCGGTCGTGAGTGCAGGAGCAAGCCCGGGGCTCACTCACACCCCGTGTGCAGGCACCCACGGGACCAGCGCTGTCACAGCGGCATCTCCGTGAGAAACACAGCTAGCAGTCCCCTACCAGAGCTCACCGATGTCACTTCTGGACGGACGATGCTGTCCGAATTCCCAAGTCACGGACAGAGTGGAAGGCAGCTCCAGCCCTGGGGCTCCCTGGTGCGGCGCTGCTGGCAACACAGCCCTGGCCTTGACCTGCTCTCATTTCTCTCCCTTGCCCTCCTGGCCCCTTCTAAGAGGCCGGGGCGAGTGAGAGCCTTGGGGGCACTGGAGGGCAGTGCCCACCTTCGTGGGGCGCTCACATTCCTGCAAGAAGCAGACAGGTGCAGCCCCCCTGCTGTGCTTCTGCGTCCCCTCCCCCCGGGCAGCGCGCTCAAGGCACCGCGATCCTGGTGCCCAGGACACGCGTGGCAGGTGCCTGGTGAAGCAAACACAGCAATTGCTCCTGTGTGGCACGAGGCTGAACCTCTGTGTTCCTGTAGCTCCCAGCTCTGGGAGCGGCAGGCCCTAGAGACTGGCTCGGCTGTGGCGAGGGCCCTCCGGCTGCGTGGCCTCGCGTGGCGAGACGGACCAAGTGGCTCACAAAGCCCCCGAGGCCCTAACGGAGTCTCAGCCTCACCACCCCTGCTAATGCTCACCCGCTCCCAGAGCCCCGCCTCCAAGTTTTGTCCACATGGGACCCAGACATTCCAGGCACCACACGAGGCTTAGCACCCGTATGATAGGTGAGACGGGCAATGGCACGGAGGTCCTCACACAGATGTCACTCACAGCTCACAGGTGTGGAAGGAACACAGGGCACACACACACACACGCACATGCGGCCTAGGGTCACAGCTTTGTCATTCACCCTGAGCAGCTCTGTCCTGGCCCAGGGTGGACTGCGCAATTATCCGAACGGCCAAGGCAGGGGGCGCTTCGTTCCTGGCTTTCAAGGCTTAGGTCTCCAGAGCCACACTTCGCAGAAAGGTCCCTGGGGGAATCCCTGGCTCCCCAGGAAGAGCCCCCGACCACCGCCCCGGACTGGTCACGGCCTGCACTAAGTGGGCAAAGGCTCAGAGCAGGGCGACTCTGCTGGACGCACTGGCCCTGACCTTGACGGCAAAGGCACAGGTAGAGCATGGGCGTTGTGGGGTGTGGGAGCCCAGTGCAGTGGGAGGGGTGGCTGAAGCCCTGACTTGTGGGGCTGTGCTGAGCGCTCTGGGCCGAGCCCGGACACTTGGTGCCGCCAGAGAGCACAAGAAACAGAACATGTCCGCCTGCCCTGCCGCCTAAACCCGCAATGCCAGCCTCCCGGCTTCCCTGCGCAACACATGGCACTACCCGTGCATCCTGGGAGGGCCAGGCTCAGCCCCACCCCTTCTGTCCCTGACACCCCCCCCCCTCGTCAGCGACACACAAGGAGAGAGAAGGCATGTGGGTGGCCGGGGGCATTGCAGAGAAACCCGAATTTCACAGACACAGCGCGTTCTGCCCCAGTTGAGGGAAGCCGGGGGTGGGGTGTGTGTATGGAGTGAGTAGGGGTGAGGACTGTGACTGGGGGATTCTCGCTCAGAGCCACTGGAATCGGGCAAATGCTTCCGGTGGCATCCCGGAACACTGCCTTCCTTCCCTGCTGTCTTGCTTCCCAGCCCGGGAGGGACCGGGCAGGAGAGCCTCTGCACAGCCTGTGGGGCAGCCTCGGGCACTCCCGGCTCTGCCGCGGGTGGCTGGGCCCAGGTCCGCGTCTGGGATGCAGGGAGTGTGAGGACGAGAAGGGTAGTGGAGGAGCAGCGTCTGCTTGCACGCGAAGGGGAAGCCCACACTCAGGAGTGACCTGGAGCCACAGGGGGCGGGGCCTGGGGCGGGGCTTAGGCAAATATT